TTTAAACTTATTTGATAAGTTGTTCAATTTAGAATTCAAATTAATTTAAATTTGACTTAAATTTGAATTTGAATTAAAATTGGACTACAGGATAAATGATGATTTTCTCTTCCTTCCCTATCTGCAATTTGGCGCCACACACAGGGATAGGAATCCCTAATATGGCCGGTCACAATCGATAAGGTTGAAGAGAAATTTTTGTTCAAAATGCAAATAGGAGAGAGAGATTTGATTCCTTCTAGAAGTTGAACTTCTACTCTATAAATAAGAGATGATGAAAAATTACGCGTGACGAAATTTTTTAACCTAATTAATAAAGGGCTGGCCGAATTTTTCTAAGAGCAAGAGAAGGAAAATTTTTCTCCTAAAAAATTCCACATCGTGCATGCGTTGGTGTTTGTGAAAAATTCGAGTGTTTAATCGAACATATTTTTGTCTCACGTGTTCCCACACATACGTCTATGTGGAATCAAGGAATTGACGTGGAAGACTTTGATTTTCTAAACACAAAAATTGGAACAATGATTGTTCGTGGTCAAAGAACTCAAGTTATCATCCGAGTCGGCCTCTAAGTATTTTTCCTAATTGAGTTCTTGACATATAAATTAATGTGATTAATTTATTCGTGCATAAATTAATATAATCTATAGAGTATCTCAAAAGTTTTATGAAAATTTTTGTTATACACGATCCGCCTCCCCGCCACACTTCCGCATCCGAACTCAATTCGGCTACCAACAAAGAACACTATAACAAATAAAATAAAGCAATGGCACCATAACAAATCAATACATCTATTGTAAATAAAAGAATTTAAAAAATTATGATAAAGAGTTACAGATGATACCTGCAATACTCTAGATTATGCTTTAAGGACGAAATACCAGCCAAGCAAACAAACATGAAAGTCAGGGAGCTTAGAAAATTGACAACCAAGTAAACTAAACTGAACTACAGCAACCACCGGAGGAAAATTATCAGGCCAAGTCAAAATTTTTTTTTTTAAAAAAAAAAAGAGGGAAAAAGCAGAACATACTCCAGGCATATTAATCAAAAACTATAAAGAATCCAATCCAGTAAAGCATATTGGTAGCAAATTTTTGAGAAGATGATATAAAACCAAACATATAAAAATCTACTATAATTAATATTGCCACCTACGAAATCAAATGAAGACAACATTCGTTAAATAAAAATACTAATATATATAAACAATGAAGTAGATAAGGAATAAGTATACATATATATATATATATAAATGTCTCAATACTGCATGCTACTGAAACTCAAAAAGTAATATGTCTATATATATGTAAGTAATAAACTGGGAAAAAAACAACATAGGTTTTTTAACATGTATTTACAACAACAGTGGAGGGTTTCAAATAATGGCAGAAATAAGAGAAATAGATAATATCTAAAAAAATCAATATATTAAGGATCATAAAAATATATTAAAAACGCATGAGCAAACAATATTAATCATACCTGAAATATGGTCAATACTATCTGACGCAAGCAACATCTACATACGTTTGGTTCTACAATATTTCATATATATATATATATATATATATACTCATATGAAAATCAAGGAGTCAGACTTAAATAGTAAGCAACCAGTAACAAAATAACAGCTATTACTCCATAGTCGGTGGCGAGAAATAGAGTTTTTTTCTTAAATGAATCAATAAAAGCAATATAGAAATAAACATCTGAAAAAAAAAACAAAAAAAAGGGAAAAAAGGAAAAAGTTTGAAAAATAAGCAGTTTAAAAACAAATGAAGAAATTGTAAAAAAGGAGGGAAAAAAATTCACAGAAAGAG